GTATGTTTCTGCAGCCCCATCTCTGAGCTATTTACCAAAACACTGGCGGGGTCCCCACTTTGTTATCGTTTGAACTGTAGATTTCCCTTTTAAGAAAGTGGGGTTTGACTAATCATGTTTGATCTGCAGGTTGTTGTTTCAGTACTGTGTTGCCAGTGCTGTCTATCTTTGGCTGTCTCCGGGTCTCTTCCTGTGTGCTGCCAACCGATAAGGAAGCCATCCAATCAAAACCACAGTGTGATAACAGACACAGGCTGGGGTCCGAGAGTGGCTGCCAAGCAAAAAGGGTATTAATGGAATTTAAATCAATTGAAACACCCCACCTAAGTCCCCCTCAATGTCCCCTCAAACCATCAAATCAATGTCAATGACAGGATGTGTGTGTGTGTGTGACTGAGTGATGAATGTATGTTGCTTTTGCATAATAGCTCAAGAATAGACTTGATGGGAATTAATTTGTGTTTTATCACCCGGGAAGACTAAAGATGCTATTGTGATGTATTGGCCACATAATTACAGTGCTCCGTGAGAGTGGATTATGCCGCTTTTCCTTGTCAATTAGATACGGATTAGATATGAGGACGAGCTTATGAAGATGAAACAGCAGAACATTTGACTAGTTTTTTTATCATCGACAGGTTTTATCATCGACAGGTGCTGCGTCCCAAATAGCACCCTTTTCCCTGTATAGTGCACTACATAGGGAAAAGGGTGCCATTTGGGATGCAGAGGGAGAGGAGGAGATAGCAGCACTTCCAGTCAGTCAAATGCCTTGCCTTCATCTTCTCCATGCAGCATCAGATTACTTCAAAGGCTCGCAATGGTGGACATAGTCATCCTGCATTAACAGAGTATACCTAACAGTGGAGGCTGCTGAGGGGAGGACGGCTCATAATAATGGCTGGAAAGGAGCAAATGGAATGGCATCAAACACATGGAAACCATGTGTTTGATGTTGTTTTTACTGTACCTTTCCCCCTATTTCGCTCCAGCCATTACCACGTGCCTGCCCTCCCCAATTAAGGTGCCACCAACCTCCTGTGATACCTAATACTGATAGACTACACTCCAAGTGTTCCAACTCCTTCAAGTGAATCAAAGTTAATTCTCCCCTCTCCGATCCAATCAGCTGAGCCCCTAAGGAGGAAGAGTAGCCTGGATCGCTCACTCCCATCAACATGGTGGTGCTGGAGTGCTGCTAAGTGTGAACTCAGCTGAGGTGCATACTGTATGTGTTAGGACATCCCTGGGAGGTTGCTGTAACGTTGTATTAACAACGGCATGGGAACGTTGTGCCAAGATTAGCGAGGCTACGCTTCGCTCTCTCTGGCACAAGAACAAAAGGAGAGTTATTAATGAGATCCAGGGTCTGTGGTCCTCCCCTCCGTCTCTCCCTCTCTCTCTGCTCTCTCTCCGTCTATCTCTCTCTCTCTCTCTGTCTGTCTGTCTGTCACTCTCTCTCTCTGTCTCTTTCTCACTCTCGTTCTTTCTCTCTCTCTCCCTCTCTCTGTCTCCTCACTGCTCCCAGCTCACTCCAAGATCAAAGCCGTGGCTTGTCTTTGTGAACATGACATTACTTCCAACTTATTTATTTATTTCCCTGGATGTTTCACATTTCTTTATCAAAAGCGACAAAAGAGTATGTACAAATAATTCCCCCTACCACCTTGGGGAACAGAGTTACTCCAGGTCAGCCTATCTGTGAGGAACGCTCGCATCAAAGTCTACAATGCAGTTAAACAATGCACCTCACTGTGAAAATTGGACATAGTTATACTTAGTTTCCTTTGAGTTGTTATATGAATTCCCCATTGAGGCGTTGAGCAATCTAAGTCTTCTTCCAAATGTGACAGAAATAATATGCCATTTAGCAGACGCTTTTATCCAAAGCGACTTACAGTCATGTGTGCATACATTTTTACGTATGGGTGGTCCCGGGGATCGAACCCACTACCCTGGCTTTACAAGCGCCATGCTCTACCAATTGAGCTACAGAACTAGAATTACATTGACAATGTCAGCTACCATGTCAGCCATATTGAGTGTAAGGCTATGGTCTAAGGGGCTTTACCCGTTCTAGTAATTCTATATTTATATGGGATAGATCGACCTTGTTCCTAGATAGTTTATCATATCTCAGGATGATTCCTTCATCACAAGGGAAATGTTCAGTGTGCTATATGACAAGCTTATGACAACGCTATTCAAACTTCTGCACATATGACGTGAGAAGCAGAGGCAATCAGGGTTGGGGTCAATTTATTTGAAGGCAAACTGAAATTACAAATGAATAATTGAAACAAGGGCATTTATTTTCAATTTCTCATTTAAACTGAAAAGTAGAACCTATTTAATTGAAATTATTTTAATTCAAATCACTTCCTGAATTGACTGCCTTTAATTCAAATTGACCCCAACCCTGCAGGCAATGTAAAAATTATGGAGACCCGAATGGATTTGTGAATCAAGTGTTGGTGTCTTATAGTTTGTTAAGGGCATGTAGAGATGGGGATTCGATTGACACAGACACGATGACACACGCACACATCCACTCCCAGACTGTCTAATTTAGCTTCATCTCCCTCCGAGCCTTAGTCAGACATAATCTGTCAACAGGAGTGGAGGGAAAATGTTTGTCAAAATGTGTCAAAATCAATGCAAAACAACGTCTGATTTTTCACTTCTATATTATGGCCTTGTTGAAATCCAGTCCATGCACTCGTGTTATGTTTAAATAGTGGGACAACAGTAGGCTTATGTGGCTAATGGACTTACATTGACTGGGTTGGTTTCAGTATGGGTCTATTATGTAAAGAGTGACTGAGGTTGTAAGCTAGTGCACAGTACCTCAAAGGTGAAATTATTATGGTAGCCATTGCCATCGCCTGGCCCTGTTTCCTAATGCCCTTTCCTATGCGCATTGTGTCAAGCATATTCACAAAGGGAGGCAGGGAGGGGCATGCACTTCAAAGGTCACTGCATGCATACCTCTCCAAATATACTTATTCTGGGAGTGACTTGGTCAAAACAGGAGTGGGACTTAAAATGTTGTCAGGTCAGATTTCAGGATGTATTAACTTTGTATATGATATTGGATAATTATCTATTTACAATGGTACTATCTACATGACTCTGTTAAAGAGTGGAGACCCTCGTGTGAGCTGAATTACATTTGTACACACCCTGAACTTTTTTCATAGACATTTCTGACATGTTTCACAACTGCTCAGTAAAACGCTTTTGGAGAGTTCATTGCAAGCAGATGCTTAAAAAAACGTTGGTCTACCTCTATCCCCAACACCCATTATCCTTGTCTGACAGAGGACATCAAGCAACTCCAGAGATCGCTGTTAGACAGCTATATCCAGCTATCCGCAGATCTGCGACAAATCCCATTTCCGTCTCCCCTGCTGCTACAACAGTCAGACTGCATCAAGGCCCAAAAAACACGCCATCAATAAGTAAACAGGAAGGGAGGCAGGCAGCGAGTGTCCATCTCACTACATTACCAATGTGCCTCTTCAACTTCAAATGGGATTCTATTTTCAGATGCTTAGCGTGCTTCTGTACTCTGAAGTCTACCCCCTGGTCTGTGTCTGTGAGAGACTGTGTGTGTGTATGTGTGTGTGTGTGTTTTTGTGTGTGTGCTTTTGTGCGTGTGTATGTGTGTGTCTGTGTCTGTGTGGGTGTTTGCCCCTCCAGTATTGGTTCATTCAGAAAGTGGATAGTCTGTTGTACTGATTGAAACAACCACACACGTTGCCACTGAGTACACAAAGTCTCACTGCACCACTTTATACATGGACATGCCAGCTAACATTCTGTAGGTGAATAATTAATCATGCAGTTCATTTACAGCTGCTAGGGGATCCTTAAGGACCATTAACAAATTAGCATCTTGGAGTTTCTCTTGAGTATGCAGTCTGCATCATATCTGTGTATCTACAGTATTTTGTGTTGCACAGGAGGTTGGTGGGACCTTAATTGGGAGGACAATTAAGCGGAATTGGTGGAATGGTATCAAATATATCAAACATATGGTTCCATGTGTTTGATGCCATTCCATTAACTCCATTCCAGACATTATTATGAGCCGTCCTCCCCTCAGCAGCCTACAACTGTTGTGTAGGTAGAACCTGCACTTTCAGCCATATATACAGTATATACTGTATTATATGGGTCACAGCATCATCCAGTATAGTCTTCACTATAGTTCTGATATAAAATAAAACATTGCCAAGACTTTGACATTATAATTCTTAGCAGGAAAACAAACCATGAAGCCATGGCCACTGACTACTAGTGAGATAAACCCATTTAGTACTGAGGGGCCTTGAGCCATGGGTAAAAGCAGAGGCTAAAAGGGCTCCCTCTCCTGGTCAGGCAGCACTCACAGTAGGAAACAAACTAGGAAACAAACTCACTCTCTGAAGATTATTTGTAGGCTTCAACAGTAGGTTAACTAAACATTGGAATGCAATTTCTGGTAATTTGCACTCATGTAAAGATAATGTCCCCCTCCCTACTATCTAAAGAACAAGTGCCTAAAGTCCCTGTCAAGTGATCCAGTACCTTTCTTTACTACTACTGCTAATTTATCGATCCTGAATCGAAGGCATTCGATTGATGTGATATTCCAGTCTCACTGATTGGGCGACAAATTCAAAGTAGGTGGAGTTTATATTTTCCCTCATTATTTTAACGTTCTTTGTTCTAGAATTGGGCGGTCCAGTGATGCTCCTGGTTAGAGATCATTGGCTTACGTTGGAGGGAAAAAATCTTGGATCTGATAGGTCCATCTTGTTGGCGGGAGCAAAAACGTTCGAAGTTTGAACATTTCAAATGTGCTGAGGGAAGGAATACAAGCGCACGTTAGAGTTTGCAGATATTAAGTACAGAAAGTGAATAACGTTTAGGGATATAAAAACTAGCTAGTTAAATAGGTCAGAGGTTCAGAAAATTCAAGTTGTCAAGCTTACGGGACAGAATACAGCAGAAGAATGGCTGAACCATTGAAGGTAAGATAGTTAACGTTAGCTAGCCAACTCGTGTTTGAAGGTTGATACGATAGGCTACAACTTTAAACACGATGTACATGTATTTTGCATGAAAGTTAATTTCTTTCCATTTTAAAATGTTCATGGCTTTTCTGATGACTTACTACATTTTAGCTAGCTGGTAAGTGGTAGTTAGCTGGCTAACTATTATTGACAGTAAAGTAACGTAAGCTAGGTAGCTAACTAGTCATCTCAGTAGCGACAGTAACGTTAGCTTTATGTATGGCATAAACGTTTGTTAACTTTATGTATGGCATGTTTTGACCTGATGCATAACAGTCTGGCCCATCTAAGGTAACCAGCTAAACAATCAGCCTGGCCTCAGACTAGACGTAACACGGTAAACGAACATCTGTGACACTCACATTAACATATGTTACGTTTGGTATGGCTACATAAGACTAGGGATGGTTATTTGAAATTAAAGTATTCGAATTTCTAGTTTTTATTTTATACTTCAATGGAGACTTGCTCGAACGACTCCTCTGCTTGTTTCAGCAGAAGGGTGGGGGAGGGGCGAGAGAAGAGCAGGGGCCAGTGTGTTACTGTACAGTCTGTGGCATGGGGGGAGAAAGAACAGAGACAAACCGACTCGCGCTAGTAACACAAACTTCGTGCAGCCATAACGTACCTATCATGCCATCTAGTGCCTGTCTTGACTGCATCAAATCGTTGTAAAGAAACTAGCTTCAGTAGCCATCAATAGCTAAAGTGGCTATTTTTCTGCGCTCCCTGTTTTTTTATTTTTGTATTTTATTTAACCATTATTTAACTAGGCAAGTCAGTTAAGAACAAATTCTTATTTGCAATGTATACAACTCCATTCATATGAAACAGGCTACCTACCTGTTAGTTGATCATTGTAGCTTAATCCTTCTCATTTAGCCAGCTAAATTTAAATTCCATTTAGCATTGATTAGAAATCTCCCACTTCACTTCCTACACATGGAGCCTCTGACTGTAGCGCCCCATTTATTGACGAACAATAACAACAAGCGAAATGTGTAGGCTACAGGTGCTTTTTTTTAATGGGGTGCACGCATAAAAAACGGTATAAACCTGTTTTATAAAAATGGCGAATGGAATGGTCTGCCCTTGTAGGCTTTGTAGCCATGTCACTGATCATTTTAGACGATGCCCCCCCCCCCCCCCCCCCCCCCCCAAAAAAAAACGTATCTCCCAAGTAATCGAATACTAACATCCATTCGGATAACAATGCCCATCTCTACATAAGACCGAATGTTACTTAAGCCCCCCCCCCATTGATTTCATACAGAGCTTGTTTGAGAACAAGGCGGTAGAGAAGACCAAGAAGAACCCTAACCGCCTGTCAGTGGAAAGGATATACCAGAAAAAGACTCAGCTGGAGCACATTCTGCTGCGTCCAGACACCTACATCGGCTCTGTGGAGCCTGTCACACAGGTAAGGAGTGCCACACTGCCTCAATTTTCACCCAGGAAACCCAGAGCCCTGTTTGTACAGAGGCATACACATATTTCATTGTGGGGCAGGTGTGTCAAATTGGAGTAAAATATAGGCAGACAATGCTTGTCTTTAGAACACATCCCATGGTTGCTGGTTCCCGTTTTATTGTTAGAATTGTCACTAACGCATACTGTCAATTTCCTCTCCAGCAATTGTGGGTGTTTGATGAGGATGTTGGAATGAACTGTCGAGATGTGACCTTTGTACCAGGTCTCTACAAGATCTTTGACGAGATCCTTGGTGAGTAAACTACTATTAAATGAGTAATGTTACTGTATTCATTTCACGGATGGTGTACTGTACAGTTAAATCATCACCATATGAAAATCCCGTAAAAGATTGTGAAGTGACTATTCTCATATTTCTTCTAACCACAGTGAATGCCGCCGATAACAAGCAAAGAGATAAAACCATGTCCTGCATCAAAATAAACATTGACGCGTGAGTATTCTCGCATATTAAACATTACACTGTTTAATATGAATCCTGAAATATTAAAGCAGGGATGACTGCTGTCCTATGAAATGGAAACATTCAAGTGTATTATACCATACTGTATATGTCACTATTGGGCTATACAAAGTTAATTAGCTGTTTAACGGTTGAAGGACAATGCATCTGGTGTATTAGAAACTATTATTAATACCATGATTGTATTTTAAACATTTTGTTATTTACGCATAGATTCAACACCAGAATGTTATTTTTTTCCCCATTCGCTGTAATGGGGGATCCTGTGTTCTGCTAACAATGCCTGCAGCAGCGTCCGTGGTTTAATGAGAGGAGGCAGTCGTTATTAGAAATGCCAGAACTATGCCTCTGAAAAAATGAACTGTGCCTAAAACTCTTCAACTCTTTCAATGGTGCTATCCAACACCTGACATCAATGTAGTTAATTAGGGGGGGGGGGGGCTTACCCTGACCAGGACTCAAACTGTGGTCCCTGTGACGGTCATTCCAAAACCCTTACACCAAAAGGCTAAAATCTCTTGGTACGGTCACTGTTGTACTAGGGTTGCTTTAGTATTTTTACAAGGGGTCACATTTTTTATTCGCTCGCTCGTCTCCATTTTCTAAACATGAAATCCGTTAAACAGTTAATGGACTTTGTATGACCTTACTTAGCCTGTGCTTGGTGTTTCAGTGAGAACAACTCCATCAGTGTGTGGAACAATGGGAAGGGCATCCCTGTGGTGGAGCACAAGGTGGAGAAGGTCTATGTGCCAGCTCTCATCTTCGGACAGCTCCTCACCTCCAGTAACTATGATGACGACCAGAAGAAGGTCACCGGTAAGACTAATGCAATCAGACACTTATTGTCAATCATTCTTTACTCTCCCAGAAAAAGCGTAGAGAAGTCTTGCATAGTTTTTTGTTGCTGTTCCGATGGTTAGCTTTCTATTTCAGAAATATGTTGACGTAATTGGGCGTATTAAAAACCTGCAATCTATATCTTCACATGTTGTTGTACTCCATCTTTAGGTGGACGCAACGGATATGGTGCCAAGCTTTGCAACATTTTCAGCAACAAGTTTACTGTGGAGACTGCCTGCAAGGAGTCCAAGAAGACCTTCAAGCAGGTCAGTCAAACTAGGCCAATGGCACCATACAAAACACATCCATTTCTTGAAGTCTGCTCAGGTTTGTGACGATGTATCCTATTACCTAAACCTTAATTCTATTTGTTCTTACCTGTGCTCTTTGTGCCCCTGCAGACGTGGTATGACAACATGGGGCGGGCTGGGGAGCACAAGATCAGGTCGTTTGAAGGCGATGAGTTCACGTGCATCACCTTCCAGCCGGACCTGGCCAAGTTCAAGATGCAGACCCTGGACAAGGACACGGTGGCTATCATGACCCGACGGGCTTACGACATCGCCGGTGCCACCAAGGGGGTCCGCGTGTTCCTCAACGGCAAGAGGCTACCTGTAAGTGCAGGCTAACCTACTAGTAATCTAAGAACGATTGCCACACTAACAATTACTCTGCACTATAGTCACTTTAAAAAGACCCCAACAAGAGGATAACCTTTATTAAACGACAATCTGTCCATACTGAAGTCTCCAAATGTATTCCTTTGACGGTTTGAAATGCTGTTGGACTACAATGTTTGTTTTGATTACCAACATCTCTCTGTCCCCCTAGGTGACGAGTTTCCGTAACTACGTGGACCTGTACCTGAAGGACAAGTTGGATGAGCTGGGTTCACCCCTCACAGTGGTCCACGAGGTGGTGAACGAGCGCTGGGAGGTGTGCCTCACAATGAGCGAGAAGGGCTTCCAGCAAGTCAGCTTCGTCAACAGCATCGCCACCACCAAGGTAAAAAGGACAGTTGTCTAAGGGGCATGTGGTTTTGTGACGTGTGTACAATGTTGTGTTTTGTATTGAGCTGCGGTATGGAAGCTAAAGGCAAATGTGCATTTTACTCTAACTGGACAATAAGGTTACGGCTTACCAACCACTTGGTTTAATAATCAGAGTCATTTTCCCATTTTTGGCAACAATATGTCTCCATATTGGGTCCTTTTCCAGATCTCATAATCTCAATATAGTATGTGGGACTGCTGTACATGGTTTCTTACTGTTCATGTTCTCTGGCCCCAGGGTGGAAGACATGCTGACTACGTGGCAGACCAGGTGACATCCAAGCTCATTGAAGTGGTCAAGAAGAAGAACAAGGCTGGAGTGGTCGTCAAGCCTTTCCAGGTATCTATGCTATTTAGCAGACACTTCTATCCAAAGTGACTTAGTCATGCGTGCATACATTGTACGTATGTGTTGTCCCTGGGAACCACTACCAACTGAGCTAAAGAAGGATTGGGTACCCCACCATACTGTCAACCTGACCATTCTCCCTGAGATCAGATAAAACCTTATTCTCCAGAACATTTTCATAATATGGCCAATTTAATAAGATTGTACTTTGTCCAACTCTTCCCAGGTGAAGAACCACATGTGGATTTTTGTCAACTGCCTGATTGAGAACCCTACCTTCGACTCCCAGACCAAGGAGAACATGACCCTGCAGCAGAAGAGCTTCGGTTCCACCTGCCCCCTCAGTGACAAGTTTATCAAACAGGTAAACAAAGCCATGAGTTCATTCTCACCATAGAAAGTCCATTGACATTCGTACAAAACATACTCGTTTGTATTCTTGATTGATTTTGTACATGGCTTATTTTCAATCAACCAGGCCAACTCCTGTGGGATAGTGGAGAGCATCATGAACTGGGTGAAGTTCAAGGCCCAGACGCAGCTCAACAAGAAGTGCTCTGCCGTCAAGCACACCAAGATCAAGGGCGTGCCCAAGCTGGACGACGCCAACGACGCAGGTAAATCAAATTCGTTTTGATATGCTTTTTAGTCAAGTCTGTCATGCAGCAAATTACTTCTCTTCAGCGGTTAGCCCTTATAGTTTACGCCTAGTTACTTATGATCTATATAGCTGTTTTAAAACAAATCAATAAAGTTGTACATTTAGTAATGACGTCATACGAATCAAAATGGTTAAGTTGTGGTGTTTCCCTGCCACCAGGTGGTAAGAACTCCAGCGGCTGCACTCTAATCCTGACGGAGGGTGACTCGGCCAAAACGCTGGCCGTGTCCGGTCTGGGCGTGGTTGGCAGAGACCACTACGGGGTCTTTCCTCTCAGGGGAAAAATGCTCAACGTGCGGGAGGCCTCGCACAAGCAGGTCAGAACAGGCGTAACAAAATGCATTACTAAAACCATTGTTAACTATTAATAAAAGTTGGTGCGCACCATAGCCATCTTATACGGTTCTGCTGGGCATAATTGGGAGTGCAATTAATAATGACTGTGGGGAAATTTAGTTCGGTGTTGAATCGATCCTCACCATATGTTTTACAAAGGGCCTCCCCTCTAGCATGTTAGGCATTTCTGTGGTCGTCCACTATTGAACTAGTTGTTAATGGTTTGATCCCTGTCTGTCCCCTGTATCAGATCATGGAGAATGCTGAGATCAACAACATCATCAAGATCCTGGGGCTGCAGTACAAGAAGAACTACAGCGACCCAGAATCCCTCAAGTCCCTGCGCTATGGCAAACTCATGATCATGACCGATCAGGTCTGCAGTCTAATGGCAAATTCTCAGTGGAATTTAGAGCTTCTTGTCTGTAAACTCATTTATTTGTGTAGCTCATTGGAATGTATTTTTTAAAATGTAACCTTTTTATGTAGTCATGAAGTCTTATTGATTGAGATTAGTTTTCCGATGGTGACCTAGCCAGTAAAGCAGCTCTACTCTAGAACTGAAATAATACTTTTTGTCAGTGTAGACTAGTTTTCTCACTGACTAAACATTGCTCCGATCATTGATGCTCTCCTGTGTGGTTGTCTGACAGGACCTGGATGGCTCCCACATCAAGGGGTTGCTCATCAACTTCATCCACCACAACTGGCCCTCGCTGCTGCGCCACAACTTCCTGGAGGAGTTCATCACCCCCATCATCAAGGTACATGGTACGGTCCAGCTGAGACCAACGGTTGCTGTTTTGGGCACTGTGATACTTCAAGGCAACTCCCCATAGTGAACATCAATTTTTAATACAGCTATATTAAATACAGCCACGCCAACTCTGTGTACAGAACTAAGATAACGTAGAAGCTTGCTTGTACAGTATCCTGAACTAGTCTTTACATGCGACACCAGTGCCATCTGTTGGTGACATATGTAACAAACACATACTGTATATTATAGTTTTACAGTAGCAAGCATTTTGAGATTTTTTGCAAATATAGAGATACCAGCTAAATCGGGTAATATTTACAAGTATAGCGACGAGTCAAATGTCCATTTGAATTTTTTCACAGGCCACTAACAAGAAGCAGGAGCTACCCTTTTACAGCATCCCAGAGTTCAATGAGTGGAAGGAGATGCAGCCCAACATCAAATCTTGGAAAATAAAATACTACAAAGGTTTGTGCCCTGTGGTAGTGAAGCTGAACACGTAAGCAGCCACTTGATATTTTTCCCATACCTGCCCCAATATAAGGCGGCGTTTCCAATAAACCCCCCTGTATTTAGATGTGCTTCTAACATCACCACCTGTATCTGTCCAGGTTTGGGTACCAGCACTTCGAAGGAAGCGAAGGAGTACTTCTCTGACATGCACAGACATCGCATCCCCTTCAAGTACGCTGGACCTGCCGACGACGAGGCAATTACCCTGGTACGTTGACCATTTACCTTCATTTGAATCCCTATATAAATAAAGGTTACATAATTTTTGCGTCTTACTGAAACAGGCAAGGTGTTGTAGCAAACGAGTATTCGGTTGTCTAGGCCAGGGTTTCCCAAACTCTGTCCTGGGTACCCCTTTGGATGCACCTTTTTTTTTTTTTTTTTTGCTCTAGTACTAGGGCAAAAAAGTACTAGTACTACACAGCTGACTCAAATAACCAACTCATCAACAAGCTTTGACTAGTGCTAGGCAAACATACTCAGTGACCGGGTTATGTACACCACCCCATTCAAAAAAATGCTTTGCTCCTACAGACATTGAGTCACGTGGCTTGCTGTATAAAGCGGGCATCGAGGCATTCAGTTACTGTTCGATTCGACGTTAGAATAGGCAAAAACGAGTGACCTAAGCGACTTTGAGCCTGGTATGATCGGTTGTGCCATGCGCGCTGGTTCCAGTATCTCAGAAACGCCCGGCCTCTTGGGCTTTTCACGCACGACAGTGTCTAGGGTTTACTGAGAACGGTGCGACAAACATCCAGTCAGTGGCAGTCCTGTGGGTGAAAACCGCTCGTTGATGAGATGTTGAAGGAGAATGGCAAGAATTGTGCAAGCTAACAGGCAAATAACGGCGCAGTACAACAGTGGCGTGCAGAACAGCGTCTCGGAACGTACAACTCGGCGGATGGGCTATTGCAGCAGACGACCACACCGGGTTCCACTCCAATCAGCCTGGTACTAGATGTGCTATTCAAACGGTTATTGAGGTGACGTGTTCATTTGGATGACCAATAACGGTCATCCAAAATTCCATGACTGTCACAGCCCTACCAGTAGGGGGATGTTTGCGATTTTATTGCAACAGTGTTTTTGACATCAATCGGTAGAGTTGAAAATGCGATGGAAACATTGAACTTCTGCTTTTTATTTGGTACATGGAAACTTAAACCCCCAAAAATGCTTTTTATTTGGTACATGGAAACTTAAACCCCCCAAAATGCTTTTTATGTGCATTACGTCATCACGCACACCATCTTATCCACACGTCAGTTTGATGGAAACACCACTGGTGTTTTTTTTTTTTTATGCCGATTTTAAGAAAAATCAAAAAATATTTTGCATGAGCTCTGTTGGCCATTTGGATTGAAACCTAGCTTATGATTCTGTTAGCAGTACTTGTTTACCCTTTTCTATTTCTCTCCCCAGGCCTTTAGCAAGAAAAAGATTGAGGAACGTAAAGAGTGGCTGACCAGCTTCATGGTCAACAGACGCCAGCGCAGAGAGCACAACCTGCCTGAGGTACGTCACTGGTGACCTTTGACGCTTTAGAGCACAGCCCAACCATAGAAATGTAATTAGTAGAACAGATATTCCCAGTCAAGTCAACGTTCCGTGATGGGTGGCTCATTCTAGTAATTCTATTTCTGAGCCTAATTCTACCCTCTGATGTCATACCACCTGTCTCTTTGTGTCCCAGGAGTACCTGTATGGTCAAGCCACCAAGTCCCTGTCCTACAACGACTTTGTCAACAAGGAGCTTGTGATGTTCTCCAACTCAGACAACGAGAGGTCCCTCCCCTGCCTGGTCGATGGTTAGTGGCGGAAGGGAGTTATGTCAAGTTGAGCTTAAACAGTAGCTGTGAAAAAGAGGGTGGTGCCTGCAGCAAACATGTATAAAAAAAATAGTTTGTATATTTTGTGTGCGAACCACCCTCTTTTTCTCACCGAACTGTTTGTTGGTTTTACATTGCACCAGCCAAAGTTCATCGCTATAAACGGTTACTTAGTTCATCCAGAAAATATATAAATCTATGCCACTTGAAACGTTAACGATGTAGACTTCAACTAGGAGAGGTAAATATGACAGTATATCAGTTTTGATTATGTGTGTCTCCCAGGTCTGAAGCCGGGCCAGAGGAAGGTGCTGTTCTGCTGCTTCAAGAGGAATGACAAGCGGGAGGTGAAGGTGGCTCAGCTGGCTGGTTCCGTGGCCGAGATGTCAGCCTATCACCATGGAGAGGTTAGACCCACGGAACTGTGAAATGTAGAGGGAACTTTCAAGATCCCTCGACTCAATTTGTGGTGTTCTATTTTGTATTTATTGTTTCATTGGTATTGTAGTCGAATGAATGCAATACTCTATCATTATTGATGGTGTGACATACCATGATAAAAATCAGGCATTATATTATAAGTGAGACTATTACAACATGTAGACTAGAGTTTGCCTACAACCTCTTTCTGAATGGACTGTCATCCTCTGTATCCTTCTCTTTCAGGTCTCTCTCATGATGACCATCATTGGCTTGGCCCAGAACTTTGTGGGCAGCAACAACTTGAACCTGCTGCAGCCACAGGGTCAGTTTGGCACACGGCTGCACGGTGGCAAGGACTCTGCCAGCCCCCGTTACATCTTCACCATGCTCAGGTCAGCTCCACGACATGCCCTGGATATGCCACTCCCTGTTAAGTTGGCGTTATGATGCAGCGTACTTTGTTCCTTGGCTATGACTCCATAAAGAGACATGAAGCTTTTAGAATCGCCTCCATACGAAATGACTAGCCTAAACTACTGCTGCGGTCTTGGCAATGCATGGATGGTGGGCTTAGTAGGTCACTTCAATTCCAGAGATTTACATTAGCACAGTTTCGACCACTGTCTTCGTCAGGCTGCCGTGTTTCAGTAAGTGACGTAGGACTACTCTCTCCCCTCCTCCCTACAGCCCCCTGGCTCGTCTACTCTTCCCCCAGGTGGACGACAACCTGCTGAAGTACAACTATGACGACAACCAGCGCGTGGAGCCCGAGTGGTACATCCCCATCATCCCCACCGTGCTAGTGAACGGCGCCGACGGCATCGGGACGGGCTGGGCCAGCCGCCTCCCCAACTTCGACGTCCGCGAGATCGTCAATAACCTCCACCGCATGCTCAACGGGGAAGAGCCACTGCCTATGGTGAGGAGGGGAGATTAGTTAGTAAGGGCCTATGGATGGGAGCTAGGAGTTGGGGTGGGTTTTTAGATCAAATGCACTATGTGCATTCAGAATGTGTACAGGACAAGTCAATCATCAAGACATAATCAAGAATCCCATACTCAGTATTTCTTCTTTCAGATATGAAATCTAGATAAATTATGTTTATGTGAAGGTTTGGGATTGGCCCATAGTTTATCAGAGCCAGTTATAGGTTATTGACATTTGGTTACAACCAAGTTCTCGAATCAAACTGTTCCTTCTCAATGATTCAAAAATGACTTGTTCTGTTCAGCTCCCCAACTACAAGGGCTTCAAAGGCACAATTGACCAGCTGATGACCAACCAGTACATGAACAGTGGAGAGGTGGCCATCATCGACAGCACCACCATCGAGATCTCTGAGCTGCCCGTCAAGACATGGACACAGGTTGGTACATATTAATACCCTGGTCTTGGGTAGATCAGTTGGGTGGTTTGTCTTTACTTGATAGAAGTCTGTGTCAAGTCACTGTCCTGCTATATGAATATACAGTAGCATATGGTATTGCTGTAGGGCCTTGGATCCATAAGGATAATGTTTAGAATCTAGTCATCTGTGTTTGCGTACAACGGAAAACGTAAATCTCTGTTCTTATTTGACAAGTTCAGGTAGTACCTCTCTGTTTCAAAAATTTTTCACCTACTGAATACAACCCATGTACATTTCCATGTCTTTTTTTTCTCCTCTCTGCCCTCACCCTCAGGCCTACAAGGAGAACGTTCTGGAGGCCATGCTGAACGGCACAGAGAAGGTCCCGGCCCTCATCACCGACTACAAGGAGTACCACACGGACACCACGGTGCGCTTTGTGGTCAAGATGACCGAGGAGAGGCTGAGGGAGGCCGAGGCGGCTGGCCTGCACAAGGTCTTCAAGCTGCAGCAGTCCCTCACCTGCAACTCCATGGTAATGATCACCCTACCCTACCACAAACATGCTACTACTCCCTTGAATAATGTTTAGTCCCAACCATATAATGAATTATTCGCTACTGTCTCTGACTCCATTTTGTAATGATTGTTTTAATTTGTTTTAAATTGATACTCTGAAGGGTACTACTCATTCCCATGAAATATAATACTGCAACAAGGCCTTTTATTTTATTTTTTAAGTGTCTATAATTATAAGAACATCATCATTATAAAAATATGTATCTGAATAACCTCTCTCCTTGCCCCTCAGGTGCTGTTTGACCATGTGGGCAGCCTAAAGAAGTATGAGTTGGTGCAGGATGTGCTGAAGGACTTCTTTGAGTTAAGGATGAAGTACTACGTTCTGAGAAAGGACTGGCTAGCCGGCATGCTGGGAGCCGAGAGTGCCAAGCTCACCAACCAGGCCCGTTTCATCTTGGAGAAGATCCAGGGAACCCTGGTCATCGGTGGGTACCAGCGCCCTCTCCTTCCCCTATAAGGGAAATGTTTGCATATCGGTCAGGTGACACCAACATGTGGGAGCCATATTGGGACTCTGCTGGGACCCCTCAGATCTGCAAACATCCAACAGTTGATTCTGTGTTTAATCCTCAGCATGTTCAAGTCCACATAAAAAGGATCTGTTTTCATTCAGCCTCGGATTGGCATAGGCAATGTAGTATTGAAAGTATTGTTAGCTGTTGTACTATTTCTGTTAATTTCCTGAAACGCCCATACCGTTGTCTCAGGTGACATTTTGTTTCTTGCTTTTAAAAGGTAGCTATTGTATGTCTCTCTCCCTTTCTCCAGAGAACAAGCCAAAGAAACAGCTGATCCTCATGCTGACGGAAATGGGCTACGACTCTGACCCCGTCAAGGCCTGGAAAGAGGCTCAGGAGAAGGACAAGGTAGTTAATTTCATTCCCCCTTATCTGGCCATACTCCTAATTTAAAGTGTTCTTGTTTTTTGTCATATAATCCAATGTACAACCCACAGTTGCTACGATATCATGAGCATAAATGGTAGCTTTTATCCTGGAAAGTAAGTTGATTTCTCAACATACATTGACTTTTAGAAGGGATTGCATGACGATTAGATTAGCAACCGCGTGACGCAGCATGACAACATTAACGCGATTGGTTGACTTTTATTTTTCTCCCCTATTGAAGACTGTGGAGGAAACGGGGGATGATGATGAGGAGAAAGAGGAAGACACCACTGGACCAGACTACAACTACCTGCTAAACATGCCAATGTGGTACCTCACCAAGGAGAAGAAAGAGGAGCTGTGCAAACAGAGGGATGCCAAGGTCTGTCCTCTTGCTGTCCTGTCCAGTGGCCATGTATCAGTTAAAGGGAAAAATCCACTCATGCTTTTAATTTACAATCTTTTTTTGTGAACAAATGTTTCATTTTGGTGTTATATTAAGGTTGGTAGCATCATGGGAAATTGTTGTGGAAATCTGTTGCAGCTCAAGTCGACTACAAAATCCGCAATGCTCTCATTGGGCTGGCTAGGTAGCTAGCAAGCAAACGTAGCTACACACAATAATACCAAAGACAATATCAGCATGTAAAGTAGCTAGTTAGTTTAGTTTAGGTGATTTTTACAGCTATCAATTTAGGAGTCTACAATCTCACCATGTTCAACCTGCAGATCGATGTGCCTCAGAGCGGAGTTTGAAATTCTCAACGGTAGATATACTTTTGAGGAGAACGTTGCCCATGCTACGTCAATGGGCTGCGCGGTGCATTCTGGGTGATTCTGGGACAAGGAGTTCTCTCCTTCAGAGTGAATGGGAGTCTATTGGGTGCTAGCTCAAAAACCCAACATTGGCACGAATTTCATCAACAAGAAGTACATTACAAATCTTTTTTGAGATGTGAAATAATTAACTTGCTATCTGAGATATCGTATAGCTTTGGAATCGTGACATTATGTACTTTCTAGGAAAATAGGCACATTTCTCGACATATACATTGACTTTGAGGAGGGATTGCGTGACGATTAGTTTAGCAACCGTGTGACACAGCATGACAACATTAACGCGATTGGTTGACAATCTGCTGGGTGGGGCGTAATACGTTCCTTCATTCATTGGATTCCTATTCCCTTTCTATAATATCTCTGGCAACAGCACCATGCAATGCACCCTGGATTAAAGAGGCAGACAAATAGGAAACATTTGCTAGACCCTCCTTTTAAATTACAAGTTTCTCGGGAGGAATATCGCACAAATATGATAAATGGCTCTTTCGAGAGAAGACATCCTCCCGTGTTATGACATCAGCCAGTATTGAAATTTGACATGTATGATGTACATCTTCGCAGTCTAAAAGTCGTATTCCTGTTAACTTCCAATGTAGTGAGAGCGACTTTATCACAGTGCTACGTCATAGCGAACTGATTTCTGCCTGCTTTAACGCCAATAACTGAGAACATCAAATGACCCAGGGAATCGATAGAACATCACTCAGATGCACAAAAACAATATAACATTCAAAATGTGTGAACCTTTCCTTTTTAACAGTACATCATTTTAGTTCCTTGTGGCTACATTCTGATCCTGTTACGTGGTGATGGTTCTCACCATCATAACTTCTATCCTCTCATGCAGTTGACCGAGCTGAACACCCTAAAACAGAAGAGCCCGGCTGATCTTTGGAAGGAGGACCTCGCGGCCTTCACTGAGGAGCTGGAGGTAAAACAGCATCCCCAATCAAATGTCATTCCGTAACAACACTCGTTCTTATGGCATGAATGTTACAGAATGACTATTCATGGGTTGCACGTTTCGTCACTATTGTTTTGAATACTGGGCATTCTACTCAATGCATCTCAATGAGCGCTGATTAGTCTAAAGTGCATTACTGTGGCTTGGAAACAAATGACAATTAGTAGGATAAATTATCATTGTGATGTCACCAGACTGACTTTAGATGGAGTTTAACTCTAGTTAGCTAAGATTGAGGGGACGGCACTGAATTTTAGCTCGCTAATGTTAGCATTCCAAGCAATTTTTGACAAACTTTGCTAGTTAATGGCAACCTTGCCCTCTCTATAAAGTAAGTTTGACGACAAAGACGGAACATTTGTTTTTCTGTAACATTGTTATGCTGTAACGACACCACTTATTCTGTAACATGCTTTATCATTCCATAACACTTAATGGTTTGAACCTCGGTCTCATAGTTGCCATTGTTATGAACGTTCTACAGACGCCGGAGCCATATTGGTGCCCGACTGATGTCTGAACGGAAGCTGTTTCATCTAAATTACAGATGGCTTGGAAATATGATGACTGTGCTAAAGTAGGCAAATAATTAGTAGGAAACAACTTTTCCGTCATTGTCGTCAAATTTACTTTATAGAGAGGGCAATGTTGCCATTAACTAGCAAAGTTTGTCAAAAATAGCTAGGAATGCTAACATTAGCGAGCTAAAATTCGGTGCTGTCCCTTCAATCTTAGCTAGCTAGCTAAAGTTATACCCCATCTAAAGGCAGTCTGGCGACATCACAATAATAACAAACGTTTTTCCTACTAATTGTCATTGTGTTTCTACGCCACAGTAATGCACTTTAGATGAATCAGCGCTCATTGAGATGCATTGAGTAGAATGCTCAGTTTTGCATCGTTCCTAAAACGAACATTCAAAACAATATAGTGACGAAACGTGCAACCCATGAATAGTCATTCTGTAACATTCATTCCATAAGAACAAGTGTAATTCCGTAACGTTCTGTCGTTTCATAACACCTGGGTCAAGTAATCTGCACTGTCACCGTAACATTTGACTCTCTCTCGGGTTACTTCCACAGCGTGTGGAGGAGAAGGATCGGGAGAACGCCACCATGCCTGCGGTGAAGGGCAAGGCTGGCAAGGGCAAGGTGGTGAAGGTGAAGCAGGAGACCATGCCCACACCCCAGGGGCGCCGCGTCATCCCACGCATCACCAGCACCATGAAGGCTGAGGCCTCCAGGAAGGCCGTTGTCAAGAAAGGCAAAAAGGTCAGTGCCTCTTCTGGAAACTGGTGTCAAACACTAACTAGAGTACAATAATAATTGTAGACTTTATGTAGTTCACTGGTAATGGAACTTGTTTGAGATGGTAATTGACTTACTATTTGCTACTTCTGTATTTTTTTTATAATTCCATTTTGATATTTGTGTGTTTTTTAGGGTGAGGAAGTGGTGATGAAGATGGAGTTTGAGGATGGAGGAGAGAATGGAGAGGCTGCTGCTGAGGAGATGGGTCTGGCAGCGCGACTGACCAAGAAACCCAAAGCACCAGCCAAGGACAAAGGTGAGGATTATGATTCCAGCAGAAATGTCTTGTTTATTGGTTAATTGAAACCAACAAGGACAATATTCCTGAATGGGGAAACTCTGGTTTATTCTGTTTCAATGGTAGATTCTCTATGGGTCATTATTGAAATCCTGTGGCATTTGCGTCCCTTGCCTTTGCAACCATGAAAAACACTTTAAAATGAAAAATAGTTACACATCAATGGTTTTGTTTTATATTGAAATGTTTACTAATTATAAAACATAATGCAAGTCCTTTTACATTTACATTTTAGTCATTTAGCAGACGCTCTTATCCAGAGCAACTTAGTGAGTGCGTACATTTTTCATACTGGCCCCCCGTGGGAAATGAACCCACAACCCTGGCGTTGCAAGCGCCATGCTTTAAACTGCAAAACCTTTTTTTTTATGCATTGTTTAAAGTAACTAGGGCAAGCAAATGGGCTTCTCCCAGTATTGATGAGTAGAGGTGTAGTGACATGTTTTGGGGATTTAGAGATCTATCTATTATTTTGTATGCTAGGAAGTAAACAAAAGTATTTAATTTGTTATATAGATCAGGCGTGTCGAACATACATGTTCAATCCGGCCCACGGGTGGTTTGAGTAAAACGATCTCAATTGACATTGAAATGACTAAAACCAAATCGAAACTGTGTAGAAATGATAATGGTCCTACATCTATACTCTTCACTCTGTCCTGCTTGTTAACAGTCATGGAAATGAAAGCAAGACAGGGTGTATCAAATTCAATACGTGATGTATAGAGGACTGCTTTTGCTAATATTGATGTAGAGGAAATGTAATACATTTTAGATTCGGCCCTCCAGACCTCGGTGGAGACCGAATGCGGCCCCTGGGGCAAAATGAGTTTGACACCCCTGGTATAGATCAATAAAACAAAGGCTATTAAAATACAAATTTGTCAATACAAAAAAAAATACATTTTTACAAATATGGGCAATGTCATTGGTGTTCAGCTCACATTACAAAGGATGTGTAGAAAACTATTATTATATATATATTTAGATATATATAGATATAATAGAAAGAGATATAGATAAGATATATATAAGAATAGATATATATACTATAATATTAGATATCATATGGAATATATGTATATAGAGATTATAGTATACATATATTATATATATATATAGCTATTATATAATATCTATTATATATATATCTAATATTATATAAGATATATTATTATATATATATATATATATCGTATATTTATATTATATATATATTATATAATATATATATATGTATATGTATATGTTATGTATTGGGGACCTTGAGCATTCCTTCCATTGGCAAACTGTTATTGGGAGAGGGTCACCGTCTATATTAAATAAATTATAGACAGGGATGTAGCTCAGTTGGCAGGGTTGTGGGTTCGACTCCCACAGGGGGCCAGTATGAAAAATAAAAAAGAATGTATGCACTCACTTAACTGTAAGTCACTCTGGATAAGAGCGTCTGCTAAATTACTAGAATGTAAATTATTAATCGCACCATTTTAGTATGTCAGAAATGTTAGGATTCTGTTGATTTTGTATAAATAGTGTCATTGGTGTTGCTCAATTTAAATGAAGAGGCAACAACATAGTGAGAAATGATTAGTAATAGCACTTTAGTAAATTATTTATGACCCGAGATTCCTCAATTTGTCATTGGTGTCACTACTCCTACTTGTGGCATAATGTTATCATAATGGTTAAAACAATGTTACATTTAAACAAATGCCACCGCAATTCAAGAATGACCTCTATGTATGTACCAATCTGTGATTCACTGACTAACCAAAGACCATATTCCCCTGCAGTATCAAAGGCATTGGGCAAACAGACCACCCTGTCGTTCAAGCCCATGGCAGCCAAGAAGGCCAAGAGGAACCCGTGGTCTGACGCATCTGGCTCAGACAGTGAGATGGAGATTCTGCTGGAAGTTGACCCAGTGGTACCCAAGGAGAAACCTGAACGCAAAGCCAAAGGTGAGACGCTATCCAGAGAGGAAGAGGCAAACTTTAGGCTACTTTGGTGAATTTGAGGCATGCAAGACAATTAAGATGCAGATTACCAAGACATGCACACAGTTCTGCCTGCCCCTCTCTCAGCCTACCTGCTCTTTCTCTTCACTAATGACGCTAGTGTGTGTTCAGTCTTCGGTCTGTTGCGTGTAGAATATCCTAGTTTAGGCTATTCATGGGATCAACGTCACCGGGCCAGTCTTGCGAACACAGGCTACTCTTCGTTGCTGAATGGGTGGGGGTGTTTTTGTCTCATATGAAATTACAGTAGGTTACCGGTATAGCCTGTATCGATGACCCTTTTCACGTATAATTGTATGTGGATGTGGCCCCTTGAAAGCGCTATGGCATATGTGTCTGTTACGGTAGGCTACACTACAGCTTTTTAAACTCCGACAACTTTCTCTGGAGACATGAATGGCATTTTACTTGTCTGTAAAGCAATGCCCCTTCTGAAGCGGGACTAACTTCCATCAGTAGGTGTCCAGAACTGTCAATCCACAGACCTCTTTCCTAAAAAAAAAGTTTGTTAAATATCGTGACTTACCAAGACATTTTGTAGAAAGAAAGCACATCTAGCTATCCTACCATTTTAAAAAAACTACATAAACATGGCAGCACATCAATCATCAACGTTTATTGTTGTCAGGGAAACGATAGAACATTCTATGCCAGAGCAGAATTCTACTGTCTGAAAAGGTACAGACGCTTCTGATGCAGCACTTTTTTAATTGTCTGAAAAGTAATCAGTTATCGACATGTTACTACTGTAATGAGTTCTGTCTGTAAAGGGTCCGGGTAGATATAACTTCATTGCCAGGCCCTAGCGGTAACGCATGCGTAATAGGACCATTATTCTGCATTGTGAATTGATGTGTAATTATGTTTTTTTCTTTTTCCTTACCGATTTTTATTTTGTTTTATTTTAATGTCAGTTTTAAACATTAAGATTGTATTCCCATTTGTCACATCCCTATTCGGAACCACCCAAACTGAGTTTAAATCGGCAATTGCATTATCCAGCAGTCACTTATATTCTCATTAGCATCCCATGCTCGCGTGTAATTCATCAAGCCCACCAGGCAATAAGACAGTATGGACAGTCCCGGTGCCCCAAAGTGTTATGTCTGGCTGCTTGTTCTGTTTCATGATTGGGGATCTTTGAAGACTCGACCAGAACATGCCAATGTATCTATAGCATCACTTCCTCTGCGTAATTAGCTGCACTACTCACTTCTGATTAGGCTCGTCTCAGACCTTAGATAGCTTGATTACTTCCCCATGACTCTCCTACATCCATACAGGAAGCTGTTATTTTAGCTCAACATAACAGCGACATTTTGTCTAACAGTTGCCATTTTCTACAAGGGTAGAAAAGGAAGCCTACCTTCAACAGCATGCGTTGCACTAAGTTGATGGGTGGCCTGATTAGTAAGAAAATAAAATGTAGCCAGCTAGCCGCACTTTGTGGCTCTGATCGAATACATTTATTAACCAACTTTTCAACAACAAGCTGCCTTCATCATGGGTTTGTGGTTTGACTCCCGAGTGGCGCAGTGGTCTAAGGCACTGCATCGCATTGCTAGCTGTGCCACTAGAGATCCTGGTTCGAATCCAGGCTCTGTCGTAGCCGGCCGTGAACGGGAGACCCATGGGGCGGCGCACAATTGGCCCAGCGTCATCCAGGGTAGGGGAGGGAATGGCCGGCAGGGATGTGTGGGTTCGATTTCCCCCCCCAAATTGTAAAGTGGTTATCCCACTGGCTATAGGGTGAACGCACCAATTTGTGAGTCGCTCTGGCTAAGAGCGTCTGCTAAATGACGTTAATGTGCCCTTGAGCAAGGCACTTAACCCTAATTGCTCCTGTAAGTCGCTCTGGATAAGAGCGTCTGCTAAATGACTAAAATGTAAATGTAAAAATGTATGCACTCACTAACTGTAAGTCGCTCTGGATAAGAGCGTCTGCTAAATGACATAAATGTAGTAGTGTTCATGCAGTGTTAATGCAACAAGTGTTGTCTTTTCCCAAAGCTGCTGTGAAGTACAGCATGTCCAGCAGTGAGGATGAGTTTGACTGTGGGATGAGCGCCCCCAAGGCGGCAGCAGCCATTAGTGGCGATGACGACGGCTTTGTCCCCGAGCCCAGCGCTGCAGTCGATAGTGAGGCGGACTCTCCACCCCCTAAGGCTCCTGAGCCCACGTGAGTCTATATACAGTATAGTTTAACAGGAGTTTTGTAAGCTTGGTGATAATTGTTGGGGCTAATGCAGTGAGTTAAGCCTACACAAGCAATAGTCTAAACTCTGCACATTTTATTTAATTGCGAATCCTGACAGCAGTGAAACTGTTGCTCTCTCTTCATATAGAAAGAAAGTGGTGAAAAGCAAATCAGCGACTGTAAAAGAAGCTAAAAGCAAATCCAGCTGTAAGTATATTCCATACCTATTCAATCAAAATCACTACCTCAACTGTATAACTGAATTGATCTAACATCACAAATTTGCCACACAATTAGATGCTGACTTTCAAAATACAACATTCTGAAATGGCACACTGTTGCAGACAACTGGGGAGATTCTCTGACTAGCACAGTTGAAAATGTAATCTGAACTTGTTTCTGTGTTCTGCAGCTCAGTCTGATGGCGACGATGCGACGGCCTCTAAGCCTCCAGCCAAGCCCAAGGCAGCCGCCAAGAAACCAGCAGCTGCCAAGAAGCCAGCCGCCCCCAAGAAGAAGGCTGCAGGTACTATAGAACAGCACCTCCAACCCTGTACTAATAATGCAGTAGTTGTGACATTAGATTTCTGCTTCAATGAGTAATAAAACATATATACAGGTAACTGCCAAAATAAAGGAAACGCCAACATAGGGTCTTAATAGGGCGTTGGGCCACCAAGACCGCCAGAACAGCGTCAATGCGCCTTGGCTGGATGCGACACCATTCATCCACGACAAATTCCATTAGTCAGTAATATTCATAAAAATATACACTACTGTGCAATAGTTTGGGGTCACTTAGAAATGTCCTTGTTTTCGAAAAAAGCTTCTTTTTTTTTTGCCCATTTTTAAAATAACATCAAATTGATCAGAAATACAGTGTAGTCATTGTTAATGTTGTAAATGGCTATTGTAGCTGGAAACTGCTTTTTTTTTAAATAATTTTTTTATGGAACATCTAGGCGTACAGAGGCCCATTATCAGCAACCATCAGTCCTGTGTTCCAATGGCACGTTGTGTTTGCTAATCCAAGTTTATCATTTTAAAATGCTAATTGATCATTAGAAAACCCTTTTGCAATTATGTTAACACAGCTGAAAACTTGTGCTGATTTGAAAGAAGCAATAAAACTGGCCTTCTTGAGACTAGTTGAGTATCTGGAGCATCAGTAATTGTGGGTTCGATTACAGGCTCAAAATGGCCAGAAACAAAACTTTCTTCTGAATCTCGTCAGTCTATTCTTGTTCTGAGAAATTAAGGCTATTCCATGCGAGAAATTGCCAAGAAACTGAAGATCTCGTACAATGCTGTGTACTACTCCCTTCACAGAACAGCGCAAACTGGCTCTAACCAGAATAGAAAGAGGAGTGGGAGGCCCCAGTGCACAACTGAGCAAGAGGACAAATACATTAGTGTCTAGTTTGAGAAACAGACGCCTCACAGGTCTTGAACTGGCAGCTTCATTAAATAGTACCCAAAAAACACCAGTCTCAACATCAACAGTGAAGAGGTGACTCCGGGATGCTGACCTTCTAGGCAGAGTTGCAAAGAAAATATGTGTTATGGACAGACTAATTGAAGTTCAAGGTGTTCGGATCACAAAGAAGAACATTTATGAGACGCAGACCAAATGAAAAGATGCTGGATGAGTGCTTGATGCCATCTGTCAAGCATGGTGGAGGCAATGTGATGGTCTGGGGGTGCTTTGGCGGTGGGAAATCTGTACAGGGTGAAAGGGATCTTGAAGAAGGAAGGCTATCACTAAATTTTGCAACGCCATGCCATACCCTGTGGACGGTGCATGATTGGAGCCAATTTCCTCCTGCAACAGGACAATGACCCAAAGCACAGCTCCAAACTATGCAAGAACTCTTTAGGGAAGAAGCAGTCAGCTGGTATTCTGTCTATAATGGAGTGGCCAGCACAGTCACCGGATCTGAACCCTATTGAGCTGTTGTGGGAGCAGCTTGACCGTATGGTACGTAAGAAGTGCCCATCATGCCAATCCAATTTGTGGGCGGTGCTTCAGGAAGCATGGGGTGAGATCTCTTCAGATTACCTCAACAAATTGACAACTAGAAGCAAGGCTGTACATGTCAAAAATGTTATAAATTTGATTTGCATTTTAATGAGGGAAATAAGTATTTGACCCCTCTGCAAAACATGACTTAGTACTTGGTGGCAAAACCCTTGTTGGCAATCACAGAGGTCAGACGTTTCTTGTAGTTGGCCACCAGGTTTGCACACATCTCAGGAGGGATTTTGTCCCACTCCTCTTTGCAGATCTTCTCCAAGTCATTAAGGTTTTGAACCGGACGTTTGGCAACTTGAACCTTCAGCTCCCTCCACAGATTTTCTATGGGATTAAGGTCTGGAGACTGGCTAGGCCACTCCAGGACCTTAATGTGCTTCTTCTTGAGCCACTCCTTTGTTGCCTTGGCCATGTGTTTTGGGTCATTGTCATGCTGGAATACCCATCCACGACCCATTTTCAATGCCTTGGCTGAGGGAAGGAGGTTCTCACCCAAGATTTGACGGTACATGGCCCCGTCCATCGTCCCTATGATGCGGTGAAGTTGTCCTGTCCCCTTAGCAGAAAAACACCCCCAAAGCATAATGTTTCCACCTCCATATTTTACGTTGGGGATGGTGTTCTTGGGGTCATAGGCAGCATTCCTCCTCCAAACACGGCGAGTTGAGTTGATGCCAAAGAGCTCCATTTTGGTCTCATCCGACCACAACACTTTCACCCAGTTCTCCTCATTCAGATGTTCATTGGCAAACTTCAGACGGCCCTGTATATGTGCTTTCTTGAGCAGGGGGACCTTGCGGGCGCGAGTTTGGAATCTGATTGATTGCTTCTGTGGACAGGTGTCTTTTTATACAGGTAACAAGCTTAGATTAGGAGCACTCCGTTTAAGAGTGTGCTCCTAATCTCAGCGCGTTACCTGTATAAAAGACACCTGGGAGCCAGAAATCTTTCTGATTTGAGAGGGGGTCAAATACTTATTTCCCTCATTAAAATGCAAATCAATTTATAACATTTTTGACATGCGTTTTTCTGGATTTTTTTGTTATTCTGTCTCTCACTGTTCAAATAAACCTACCGTTAAAATTATAGACTGATCGTTTCTTTGTCAGTGGGCAAACGTACAAAATCAGCAGGTGATCAAATACTTTTTTCCCTCACTGTAATTGCTGCAAATGGAGGATTCTTTGACGAAAGCAAAGTTAGGACACAATTTATTATTTCAATTAAATATCATTATTTCTAACCTTGTCAATGACTACATTTCCTATGCATTTTGCTATATTTCCTATTCAAACTCATTTAGTGTATATTTTCATGGAAAACAAGAATTTCTAAGTGACCACAAACATTTGAACAGTAGTGTATATATTTTGATCTGGCCTGGACCACACTTTGAGAGTCCCTGCTTTAAACCCCCCTATGCTTCGAGACCCCTCTTTCAAAGTCACAGAGCTCTTCTAGCCATGGTAGCCAAAATAATGGGAAACTGGGCATTTTTTATACATGACCATAATCAAATTGTATTGGCCACATACACATATTTAGCAGATGTTATTGTGGGTATAGCGGAAGGCGATGTTCCCTCTAAGCTGCGCCTGTGTGGGGCCGCGCACGTCCTCCAGGACTGCCAAGCAGAAGAAATGCCAGGCCGTGCGGAGACGCAAGAGATTGAACTTCACTGAGTTCACCCTGTTAGTTTACACTATATAGATCAATGTTTTTTCTGTGATCGAATCAACATTATAAACAGTGGTTGGAGCCCTGAATGTTGATTGGCTGACAGCCGTGGTATATCACACCGTATACCACAGGTATGACAAAACATTTATTTTTACTGCTCTAATTACATTGGTAAACAGTTTATAATCGCAATAAGGACCTCAGGGTTTTGTGGTTTATGGCCAATATACCACAGCTAAGGGCTGTATCCAGGCACTCTGCATTGCGTCGTATACCACACACCCTCGTGCCTTATTGCTTAATTATATCAGCCCCTTTTCAATGCAACAAAACAAATGTAACTTTGCAAGATTGAGTCTGTTGTATGCAAAGCCAGATCACAACTGAGTAGAATTATATTGGCTGGGGTAGGCCATGAGCGGTCTTTCAGAGCCACACGTGTGCACATTTGTTGATATTCTTTGCTAGTTAGCGAGTTATTAGCCCAGTTATAGATCATTATAGGTCAGCAATGGGGAGTTACTGCTTCCTACAAGAGCACAAAATGTGTAGGCTACATTTCAAGCTGTCTTTGAAAAGCCAGTCAGGTAAAAAGCTTATGTCTTCATTAAAGGGGCAGTGTTATATTTTGATACAGGCTTGAATAGCCTATATTGTCGAATTATCTGTATGGTAATAATAATGAATCGTATTTTGTAAGTGGTTTATTACATCATAAAACACAATGTAATTTACAGTCCCCTATTTGGCATGTCGTGTTACAGACAAGTAAAGAGCCATTCATGTAGGCCTGCATTGAACACCACAGGCTACTGTAGGCTGTCATAGAAATCTAAAGCTATTTCCATGTGAAATGTTATGGGATTTGCTCTACATTATGCTCAAATAGCCACAATAGCCTATTGGCCACTGTCTAAAACTGTAAGGGTACAGCTTCAATGTTCACTGTAAATGCGTGCTAGAAGAGGCACAATTCTCACAGCTTTCAAGTTTCTGCTCACAAGACCAAAAATTAGCTCAGTGCCCCAAAAATTTGAGGGAACATTGACTGTAAGAATGATGGGATGTTAATTGCTTAATTAACTCAGGAACCAAACCTGTGCGGAAGCACCTGCTTTCAATATCCCTCATTTACTCAAGTGTTTCCTTTATTTTGGCAGTTAGCTGTATATTTACATAATGTTGTATATTCTGGATGATGTTATATTGAGAGGGGTTATGCTTTGAGCGTATAAAGCATTATCAATAATACACTTATTCTGAACAGACTCCTAACACTATCTCCCTATCAGCCCCTCTAGATGCGACGCAGCCGTCCATCATGGAAGCTCTGTCCAAGCCCAAGCTAACCTCCAAAACTGCTGCCATGAAGATCCCGTCGTTTGACTCCAGTGGCTCGGAGGGCCCGTCCAATGCCCCTGCCCCGTCTAAGGCCGCGCCGGCCAAGCGCAAGGCCCTGGACAGTGACGACTCGGACAGAAGCTCTGAAGACCTCATGTCCCGCATCAAGGGCAAGAAGACTTCCATCGCCAACAAGGTGAGTCCAAACCGAGTGGAGGTTCTAGCATTGACGTGAGCCAAGTTGTTGATAATGCAATGATATGCTGAGACATTGTTTGCCAGCTTTTACAATTGAAAAGGTGCTGGAAAATATAAACTTAAGCTTGTTAACCATGAATTCAGGTTTGCACCCTCCCACCCTGTCATATGTCAGATCCATCACTCTGAAATAAATGAACTTCAATTTGGATGATGTATTCTTCTTCCTGCGTGTCCTCGTAGAAAACCAAAGTATGGGACGATGAGAGCTTCCAGATGTCAGACCAGGAAGCTGTAGCTCCCAGGAGCAAACCAGTCCGTGCCAAGAAACCAATCGCTTATAACTTTGACTCAGACTCTGAAGAAGACTTTTAGATTGGAGCTTTCTATTCTCTTATGATCAATGTCTCCTGTTATCAAGGATATTACAACTGAAGTCCCTTTTATTGAATCAATGCTTTTATATACTCTACTGCCACTTGGCCATTTATGGCTTTGCTTTGTAACATTAGAAGTCTTGACTGCTTTTGCACAGCAGACAGTTGGTTATGTTAGAATTTTATCATAACTGGGGGGGGGATATTAAATTTAAGAATTGTTTAACTCATAGGCAGGATTATTCTTGCATTTTGCAAATAGCAATATATTTGACATGTTATGCTGAATAATTTCACTAGTTTTAATCTATTTGTTAAATGTTCAGTCTTCGGTTTTCATCTTTTTATTCATGTTGTGTCTTGTCATGTAAATATTTCATTGGATGTCTTTTGATATTTGTTTTGTTAAATAAAGTAGTTGCTTATGTTATCATGTGGTTGTGTGGTTTGTTAGTAACTGGGAGGAGTCCCATGTAAATTTGAAATCACGCAATGTTTAACATCTTTTGGAATTTAGCGTTCCCTGTGCTATTTGCTTTGACACGTCTCAGTACAGATGTGTACCTTATCCCAAATGGGCAGAAGTGTATTCAGTGATGTGGAAAGAATAGAGCTGACATGATCCCCCTATTGTCTTACACACCTGTTCTACATGATACAGAATGTTCAGATAGAAATGTAAGGTTACATCCTCCCGAGCAGGCCCCTGAAGGAGTTGAGCTTGCCCATTCCGATCAGGCAACCATTTCAACAGTTCTACGACTCATCTTCTCTACAAACTAATTCCGGGTGAGTACTGTATCATAAGAAGTTTTGAGTCCGACAAGGATTAGGTATTGTTACCCTGTGAAATGAGAACTCATACCCTACTTGCGTCATGGAACATGGATAATCTTGAGCTGATACCTTTTGCACTGATTTGCTATGGCTGTTTTCATCAATCTAGCAAGAAGGCAATATTTTGAGTAGTTGTCGTCCCCGTCCCATATGGGTTGAAAATACACATTTCAACCCATATGATTTATTACGAAAGTATAACCAAGCATATACAAATATGATATCATAGTGAGTTCATGACGTGAATGAATAAACCATTTCATACATTATACACTGTAGAAAACATTAACACCTGTTCCTGATGTAATAACAGCCCCACTTCAGAGGCAGGATGATGTACATGAGGCCTGGAACTTGGGCAGAGGCATGAGCAGTATGAGGTTCATGAGCGGTATCATGGATTCCTGGTACTAAATTTGATGTAGCCTACCCTTAGCAAGAAAAGCCATTTAATAAAATAATTCACAAACGTATTTGTCTCCCTTTTTATGGGTGACAAATGTACCTACTGGTTTCTTGTTCACATACCTGCTCCCCGTATCATATAGCTGAGATCAATTATGCTAACATAATACAATATACACTGTGCACAAAATATTAAGAACACCTGCTCATTCCATGACATTGACTGACCAGGTGAAAGCTATGATCCCTTATTGATGTCACTTGTTAAATCCACTTCAATCAGTGCAGGTGAAGGGGAGGAGACCGGTTAAAGAAGGATTTCTAAGCCTTGAGACAATTGAGACATGGATTGTGTATGTGTGCCATTCAGATGGTGAATGGGCAAGACAAAATATTTGTGCCTTTGAGGGGTATGGTAGTAGGTGCCAGGTGCACTGGTTTGTGTCAAGATCTGCAACGCTGCTGGGTTTTTCATGCTCAACAGTTTCTTGTGTGTATCAAGAATGGTCCACCATCCAAAGGACATCCAGCCAATTTGACAACTGCGGGAAGCATTGGAGTCAGTCAACATGGGCCAGCATCCCTGTGGAATGCTTTCAACACCTTGCAGAGTCCATGCCCTGAATAATTGAGGCTGCTCTGAGGGCAAAACTAAATATTAGGAAAGTGTTCCTAATGTTTTGTACATTCAATGTATGTCTATATATAATTTAGTTACAATCAGTTTAAGGAACATCTACACAAAATATTTCACCTTTATTACTTTATCCAAAATATCATGACAGTAACCATGTTTCCATACACAGTTTTTATAGCCTCGTACGAACCATCCTGATCTCGCAAGCTTAGATCAGGATGGTTTGTAAGGCTACAGTTTTTATGAGTAAAGTAATGTTGTATAAAAAAAAAGACAGCTGTGATGAAAACAGGAAGTTTAGGGGTCATTTTATAAATAGAGACAAATAGTAATGGCGTCTGTCTTTTTGTTGGCACTAACTCTTCCATGGTTCGTTGGACAAAGCCTATGGGGAAATGAATGGAGTTTTTGGATAAATGCCGAAAATAAGGTCTGTGGTCAACACAGGTTTAGGAGATTTTATACGTTTTGTTCTATGATATAATCTTCATCAGCTAATGTAACTTTTTGTTAATTTTGAAGCATTTGTCATTTAAAAAAGCACATAAAAGGCTTCATAATTAATACATGTCATGTTAACTGCATGATATTATCTCATAGATCAAAACGTATAAGATCTCCCAAACCTGTGTTAACCTCAGACCCTATTTTCAGCTTTTGACCATAAGCATACTGCTAAGGCAACACTTGAGTGGTTTAAGGGAAAACATTTAAATGTCTTGGAATGGCCTAGTCAAATCCCAGACCTCAATCCAATTGAGAATATGTGGTATGACTTAAACATTGCTGTACACCAGCGGAACCCATCCAACTTGAAGGAGCTGTAGCAGTTTTGCCTTGAAGAATGGGCAGAAATCCCAGTGGCTAGATGTGCCAAGCTTATACAGACATACCCCAAGAGACTTGCAGCTGAAATTGCTGCAAAAGATGGCTCTACAAAGTATAGACTTTGGGGGGGTGAATAGTTACAGTTGAAGTCGGAAGTTTACATGCACGTTGGAGTCATTAAAACTTGTTTTTCAACCACTCCACAAATGTCTTGTTAACAAACTATAGTTTGTCGGTTAGGACATCTACTTTGTGCATGACACAAGTAATTTTTCCAACAATTGTTTACAGACAGATTATTTCACTTATAATTCACTGTATCACAATTCCAGTGAGTCAGAAGTTTACATACACTAAGTTGACTGTGCCTTTAAACAGCTTGGAGAAATCCAGAAAATGATGTCATGGCTTTAGAAGCTTCTGATAGGCTAATTGACATCATTTGAGTCAATTGGAGGTGTACCTGTGGATGTATTTCAAGGCCTACCTTCAAACTCAGTGCCTCTTTGCTTGACATCATGGGAAAATCAAAAGAAATCAGCCAAGACCTCAGAAAAAAAATTGTAGACCTCCACAAGTCTGGTTCATCCTTGAGAGCAACTTCCAAACGCCTTAAGGTACCATGTTCATCTATACAAACAATAGTACGCAAGTATAAACACCATGGGACCACGCATACCGCTCAGGAAGGAGATGTATTCTGTGTCCTAGAGATGAACGTACTTTGGTGCGAAAAGTACAAATCAATCCCAGAGTAACAGCAAAGGACCTTGTGAAGATGCTGGAGGAAACCTACAAAAGTATCTATATCCACAGTAAAACGAGTCCTATATCGGCATAACCTGAAAGGCCGCTCAGCAAGGAAGAAGCCACTGCTCCAAAACCACCATACAAAAGCCAGACTACGGTTTGCAACTGCACATTGGGACAAAGATTGTACTTTTTGGAGAAATGTCCTCTGGTCTGATGAAACAAAAATAGAACTGTTTGGCCATAATGACCATCGTTATGTTTGGAGGAAAAAGGGGAACGCTTGCAAGCCGAAGAACACCATCCCAACCGTGAAGCACGGGGGTGGCAGCATCATGCTGTGGGGGTGCTTTGCTGCAGGAGGGACTGGTGCACTTCACAAAATAGAATGCATCATGAGGAAGGAAAATGATGTGGATATATTGATGCAACATCTCAAGGCATCAGTCAGGAAGTTAAAGCTTGGTCGCAAATGGGTCTTCCAAATGGACAATGACCCCAAGCATACTTCCAAAGTTGTGGCAAAATGGCTTAAGGACAACAAAGTCAAGATATTGGAGTGGTCATCACAAAGCCTTGACCTCAATCCTATAGAAAATTTGTGGGCAGAACTGAAAAAGCGTGTACGAGCAAGGAGGCCTACAAACCTGACTCAGTTACACCAACTCTGTCAGGAGGAATGGGCCAAAATTCACCCAACATATTGTGGGAAGCTTGTGGAAGGCTACCCGAAACTTTTGACCCAAGTTAAACAATTTGCAGGCAATGCTACCAAATACTAATTGAGTGTATGTAAACTTCTGACCCACTGGGAATGTGATGAAAGAAATAAAAGCTGAAATAAATCATTCTCTCTAATATTATTCTGACATTTCACATTCTTAAAATAAAGTGGTGATCCTAACTGACCTAAGACAAGACATTTTTACTAGTCAGGAATTGTGAAAAACTGAATTTAAATGTATTTGGCTAATGTAAACTTCCGACTTCAACTGTATGCACGCTCAAGTTGTCAGTTTTTTTGTCTTATTTCTTGTTTGTTTCACAATAAAAAATATTTTGCATCTTCAAAGTCGTAGGCATGTTGTGTAAATCAAATGATACGAACCCCCAAAAATCTATTTTAATTCTGGGTTGTAAGGCAACAAAATAGGAAGAATGCCAAGAGGGGTGAATACTTTCGCAAGCCACTGTAAATCCATTTTACCTCATTTCTACCAGCATGTTAAATGTGCAACCAGAGGGACAAAAACTCTAGACCACCTTTATTCCACACACAGAGACACGTACAAAGCTCTCCCTCGCCCTCCATTTGGCAAATCTGACCATAATTATATCCTCCTGATTCCTGCTTACAAGCAAAAACTAAAGCAGGAAGCACCAGTGACTCGGTCAATAAAAAAGTGGTCAGATGAAGCAGATGCTAAGCTACAGGACTGTTTTGCTAGCACAGACTGGAATATGTTCCAGAATTCTTCCGATGGCATTGAGGAGTACACCACATCAGTCACTGGCTTCATCAGTAAGTGCATCGATGACATCGTCCCCACAGTGACTGTACGTACATACCCCAACCAGAAGCCATGGATTACAGGAAACATCCACACTGAGCTAAAGGGTAGAGCTGCTGCTTTCAAGGAGTGGGACTCTAACCCGGAAGCTTATAAGAAGTCCCGCTATGCCCTCTGACGAACCATCAAACAGGCAAAGCGACTAAACACCTCCCTCTTCAACTGGATCCTGGACTTCCTGACGGGCCGCCCCCAGGTGGTAAGGGTAGGTAACAACACATCCGCCACGCTGATCCTCAACATGGGGGCCCCTCAGGGGTGCGTGCTCAGTCCCCTCCTTTACTCCCTGTTCACTCATGACTGCATGGCCAGGCACGACTCCAACACCATCATTAAGTTTGCCGATGACACAACAGTGGTAGGCCTGATCACCGACAACGACGAGACAGCCTATAGGGAGGA